AGAGAAAAAGTAGATGTGGAAAATATGGATATGAATGAAGATTGGCAAAACTACTTTCTAACTGACTATCCCGAAAATTGGCGTTTTTCAAAAAGCATTCCTTGAATAGTTGAGATTTCCCGGAGCCCACCAAGTAGGGGAGGAGCATTGAAGCGTGCTCCAAATTCGACGACGACGACGACGACGACGATGTCCTCCTCCTCCCTCTCGCTGGTGCTGGCCGAACGAGTGTAATATGTTTAGGGTTTTTCAATTAGTACTATGTCAGTGTAGGCCGTTGGATGGACAGACAACCAACAGAGAGGGAGAGAACAAATCAAACAGAAAGCCATTAAAGTAAGGAGCATTAGTAAAGTGCGGCATGTCAAGCATCCGCACGTGTTCCCATGATCGAATTTGGCTAGTCCAATAAAATTTCGGGTTCCAAACAAATTTGAATTCATTTCTATTCATAGTATAAGTAATTCCGAGAATAGTAAATGTGAATTCATTGGGAAACATACGTAGGGTCAGCAAACATTCCGAAAGGGTTCTGAAGAAGGAAGAGACTGACTGGCCTACCCCATGGCCATTAGATGAAGTAACTGATAGGTTTGTTTTTCCGAGTAAGTAGTCATGGACGTATGTCAGATTGTCAAGTGATGTATGTCAGGGCAAAGTATAACTAAACAACTGAATTGTCAGTCCAGCTATACATGTCACTGTCTTTACATGACAATGAATCTCTGGCCATGTCTGGAATGCGCCATGTATTCAGTTTCACTTCAAAATCCTATCCTTGAAATCCTGACATATGAATAGTTGTTTCGCCTATAGTGTCCTTTCGAAGGATCAACAGCTGTTTACATTCCTATCCATCGAAATCATCTGAACAACCATTTTATCTCTTTCCCAGCAACGCATAGAAGGCTTGTCCGGCTTAGCTGGAACTAAATTGGGGACTTCACTGCCGGTTTGCCCTTTGTTTTTTTTTTACCGTACTGGTTAAGCGAATTATGGAGTTGGGTAATTGTGGAGGGCTAATTAAAAAGTAGGAACACTGCCCTACACATCGGCGAAATAGCAGTAGCTCCATTATGTACTCTTGGACCTCTTGGGATTTCGGAAAAGTTGTTATCAATGAAGGCAGTGTGAATGATACCACCAGAATAAGGTAATGAAAAAAGAAACACCGTCCAACACAATGACTGGGCTGGCAGGCCGCTGGATCCTCCAGCCACTTGTCTCCCCTCCTTTCGGACCATGACAGTATTAGGTTTATAGAGAGGCAACATAAGAAGCCTACATAGGGATGTGATTCGGTTCTGCTCGGCTGAGCAGAAAAACCGGCAGGAAGAGATTAGTCTCT